ACTAAAAAAATCATAACTCCAACTCCAATAGAAAAACCTTTAAAGAATTTTTCATATACTCTGCAAAAAAAAAAAAGAGAAACAATAAGATAAGAAACAATACAGGAGCAAAGATCCTTGTGGTACCCTTAAAGATATTTGAAATAAAGAAGGGAGTAGGCCTTCAAGAATAACTTTACAACTGCAGTTAGAAAGTTAATAACAATGTTGAAAACTAACCATAATTCTCTAGAACCTAACATCTGAGTTAAGATTTAGTAAATTGAGAATTACAGAGCTTAACATCAGACAGGACTTTTTTATATTAGCTTCTTGCAATAATAGAAAGATATTAGTTATCAACAGAGATGTTCTTGTAAAAAAGATGAAAAAAATGACTTTAAATTTTCTTATTTCTACCACAACCATTTTCAACTGAAGCTGCTTCTTCTCTACATGTAGATACTTAAATTAATTTAATCTTTTCTAACAAACGTTGTTTGATACAATGTTTTTTCTAATCTGTCTAAGATTATGCCTTCTTTTCTTGTCTTGCTAGAGTCACACCACACATCCATCTGATCATCTTCTTTTTCGGCAAATACTACATCATATAAATACCAAAACTTATATAACAATGAAAGAATATTGTATGCCAGTATCTAAATAAATAGCAAACATATATGTTTATAGCCATAATGTGTATGCAAAAGGTGCATTTTGGAGGCTTTTATATCTTCTGGAATAAAAGTTTGGAAGCTTTTATTACTTCTCTTCAGTTTTAAGTCAAGCCTCATTCAACTTCACATTTTTCAACATTAATCATTTTTTTCATCTTTTTTATAAGAACATCTTTCTTAAGAACAAATATTTTTTTTATTATTGCAATAAGCTAATGTATAAATAAAGTTCTGTCAGATATAAAGCTCTGTTATTCTCAGTTTACTAAATCTTGTATCTTATCTCAAATGTTAGATTCTAGAGACTAATGGTTAGTCTTCAACAATGTCATTAACTAAAGTCTAACATTTAATCTCGTTAACTCATGGGTCTGATCTTTTTACTTCTCCCCAAAATAAAGCTGAGTTATTTTGCAAAGAAATCTTATTCTTGAATATAAGAAATCTTAATTTGACTCTTAAATATAATGGCCATACTCTTCCTGACAGTTAAACAGCCAATTTTAAATCTGATCTCTCTTCTGTAACAGACTAAGGCTTGCTTTGGCTTATGGATTTAAATTCTGTTTTTTGTTTTTTCTTTTAAAAAAAATTAAAATCCACAACTTTTGTTAGACAAAACTCATTTGTTTACTGCAAAAAAAATATAAGAATATTGTTGGCATTCCAAAATTGACGAATAACAACCCTCTTACTCTCAGACAAAGTCTAAAAACACATTGTAAATGTAATAAGGCCTGCTTTATCTGCCAAGCTTAAGCCACTCTCCCATTGTTATAAGGTTGCATTTCTTTCTATTTTCTACAAATATAATCATGGTCAAAACTTAAACGAACAATCATCTCTATAACAATAAACCAAAATTCATTCTTGTTGGCTATTTATTCAACATCTCTTTACTGTATTTGTCCCTTCATGCTATAAAAAGTTTTTACAGCATGATAATTAATCCAGTTTTTTCCTTGAACATCAAAAAAACCTTATAACTTTTACCCAACTTCATGTTTTGCTTTTTTATACAACTTACAACTTTCTATCTCTTTAGTTATACGTTTCCTTGTATTTTAGCAGTATTTTAACTGATTCTCTATTTTAAAGTAACTCATTACTTAATAGTGGTTGCTTGCAATCTTGTAGGAAGTAAATTAGAGTTTAAAAATATATAATTGTTTTTAATAAATGTAAGCATAAAATTATAATATATTAAGTATTATAAATTTTTTTCTAGCCTAAGCTACCAACCCCTACTAAATCTTATAATTTTGCAAAAAGTTACTAATTAGGTGTTAATTGTTCTTAGCTGTTAAGATGTATTATGTCAACTATTAGTACTTATGCCAACTTTTTTGGTTCAAAAAATAATTGTAGAAACATTTTAATACAAAAAAAAAAAAAACTTCAAAAACACTACTAAAACAAAGCAGATATTGTGTGGAAACTGAGATTTAAGTAAATATATAACTAAAAACTTTATCATAGTTCAAATAACTTCTTAGAAAAAGATATACATTCAAACAAAAAAGTTTATACAGTACACCTTGTACAAATCACAACTTGTGACTTGTATGAGAGATTCTCTAAATAATTTAAAATTAGTTTAATATTTTATAATATAATGCAATAAATTATTTATAAATACAACAATATCAATAATATACATAAGTATGATATTAGCTGAACTTTTCTTTAATTTAAATTAAAATTAAAGCTTTATTTACTTTTTTTAGAAATTTACTTTATTTACTTCTTTTAGAAATTTACTTTTAGAAATTTCTAACACTCTTCTATAGCACCAATCAAAATTTTTAAGAAATGTGATAATGCGCCAGAATATATGTGAGAATAAAATATATGCTAAAAATTGTTTTTTAAAAATTTGATCTGAGGGAATGAATAACCATAAAAAAATTTAAAAAAGATATTCCAAATTTATGTAAATAAAATTCAAAACTAAGAAAAAAAAGTTTCCATTAAAATGTAGCATAAAATTTTTAATAATTTTTTCTAAAAAAATTTAGTTTTATAAAACCATAGCAACAAAAAAAAAAAAAGTAGAACAATACTGTAACAAAATGACAATGATTTGATATAATGATATCAAAATATGGGCAAGTGTAACAAAATAAAAGATTATACATCAGCAATAAAGTGACACAATTTAGGCCAATAATGTGACACAAGTATAGGCCAGTAAAGTTTAATTTCAAATTTTAAAGCAATTACATTTATATAAAGCTGTGAGTCATTGTTTTATTATGCTTTTAAGGTAACTTCTGTGAGTTTAAATGGTAAATAAACTGAAATGATTGGAAAGTTTTTATATTAAAAAAAATTTGAATATTTATATTATTTTTTAAACTATTAATATAAAAAACATTAACTTATATAGTAAAAATTATTTATGATTACTCAGCTTGGGTAAACAATATAACAAATATATTTGCCAAACAATTGATTTTTGATTTTCTATATAATCAATTCATTTTGAAAATAAAAAGAGCTGTCTATATAATGCAAAAGCAGATGTTTAAACCACACTTTTGAAAATAACTATAAAATATTTACTTAAAAATTTTTTAAACAAAAAGCAGGTGTTTCAAACAATGAACTTTGAAAACAAAGAGAATTGAAGCAATTTTGAAAACAAACAGAAAGAAAAATTTTAAAGCTTAAAAAATTTCATTAAAATTTAAAAAAAAAAAAAACATAGATGAAAAAGAATATTTTTCAAAGTAATATCAAAAACTATATAAACTAAAACAATTTTTTATTTTTCCCTATTTATACCTTTATATGTAAATATTTCATTGGGTTATAATATAAATTTTGCATCATATATATTACAACCATAAATTTTAAAAAGTTTATAAAGTATACTGATAAGCAATTTTATAAAATATAACAAACAAGTTCAAATGCAAAACAAATTTAAATTTTTATAAAAATTTCCTAACCATTAAACCAAGGATTTAACTCCAAAACTCACTTTTATATAAATTATAAACTGCTAACTTTTTCAAATTCTACAAGATATATTTACATCACACTAAACAGGTGAACATTTCATATTTTTTCTTATAATCTTGTAAAACTTTTACAAGTAAAAATATTAAATTTCTTGATTCACCTGGCCTTGACACAGCTGTAACAGGACCAGAACTCTGAAGAGTAGAATCAACAGTTGGTCTGTTGTTTGTGTGATTTGGTGGAGTGAACATCTTTAATAAAAAATTAAAGCATAACTTTATAGTACATTCTTTTTTTTTTACTTCAATGAATATCAAATTTTCATAATCATATATTCATATAATCATTAATGGAAGGAAAATATTTAAATTTTTTAAGAATCTTTATTTGACAAATTTTTTAAAATGTTTTAATATGTTTATGTTAACTTGTAAGAATACATTACTGAAAATTGTGGTATATTATTTTAAAAATTTAAATAGTACACACATAAAAATATTGATTTAAAACATATTTAACACAAAACTAAAACATATGTATAACATTTTTAAAAAGATTATTATTTTAACATGATATAAAGCCTTTAAAAGAATATTATTATAACTAAGACTTTATATTATCTTTAAAATGATAATTTTTTGAATGTATTGCACAGAACTTACCGCACTAAAATCTAGTAAATCACTCAACTCTTTATCGTTATTTAAGGCCATTCTTGTTGAACTATTACTTGGAAATCTAACATTTTCTGAATGGGTGCTGTAAAATGAAATATTAAAAATTATAATATATTTATGTAACAAATAAACAATCCAGTGTATACCATAATAACGTAATTTACATTTTTTTATGAATAAAACTCAAAATCATTGTGTATGTGTGTGTGTGTGTGTGTGTGTGTGTGTATATATATATATATATATATATATATATATATATATATATATATATATATACATATATATATATATATATATATATATATATATATATATATATATATATATATATATATATATATATATATATAATATATATATATATATAATATATATATATATAATATATATATGTGTGTGTGTGTATAGATAATACATACATACATTTATATATACTAACCTAGAGGCAGAGCTTGAGTTTCTATCCCATGTATTTAGCCAATCTGCCATGGGCCCATCTCGCTGACTCATACTCAAAGTGAGCTAAAAGTCGCTTATTTTGGTTATATTTTTATATTATACAGCAATTAGTTTTCAGCATAATTCATTCAGTATATATTCTAAACATGCGCAAGTGTATATTTCGAAGCTTGAGTCAGTCACCTTTTTTTATCAACAAAGCTACCATTATTAAACATCGGTTTAAAGTTAAAGCCAGAGAGACCTGGAGACAAAAAGTTTTGTTAAAAAGTTTTATTTACAAAATTTTGACTGGCCGAAACTTAATGATACTAAAATATAAGACGATTAAAAAAATTATAAAATAAATAAATTTAGATTTTCCAAAAATTACCAATGGGTAATTTTGATAAAATTTCGAAGTGGCAATAACAATATATAGGTACGTATGTAAAAACTACATACGTAGTTGATATATTTGATCATTAAAATAAGTAAAACTTTCATAAAAAAATAACAATTTTTCAAAAAGTTAGGCACATTTAAGCAACAAAATTTGATTACAAGAACTGCTTAATAAAACTGGACCAATATTAGAATGTCGCGTTCGGCTAACGGTAGTTTTGTTATAGAACTTGGTTGTTATTTACGCAATATTTTACTTTATTTACAATATTAATATTGTATAATTTACCTAAGTATAAATTTATACATAGGTATATATTCTGCTACAAAAAATTAGGTGTCTCCTACACTTTTTCAATAAAGTTTGGCATGAACATAAAAAATATGTTTTTAAACCGGGCCAAGAAGATTAAAAAAATCTCCAACACACCTTATATCAATTTTAAATTTAATCAACAAATATGTTTTTCAGATGAGTAAATTCAATATTAGCAGTTATAACTACAAAAAAAGAACAACTAAAAAATGAGGTTTAGCTAATTTACTTTTTATAAAATATCTATGTTCAATGAAATTTTTAGCAAACGAAAAAACGGTTTGAAAGTTATGATGTTTGCATTAATCCATAAAAATTCAAAATTTTCTGATATTTAAATAATTGTTTTTATTATAAAATAATAAGAAAATTCAAACAGATACTACACCAAAGATTACATAAGATTATACTCTAATCTCAATTTTCGCCAATATGATCTAGATTTCCAAATACATTTTGTTATGTTTTGTTATTCTTTTATTCTGTTTGTGATTGGAATAAACTTATGCAGTCGATGAGTGAGCCAAAAATCTTGTATAATATAATATAAGAACAGCTAGTGAAAAACCTCTAACAAAATGTAAGTACACAAAGATAATCGTATTATCCTGATATTATGATAAAGTAAAACAGTTAAAATACTAAAATCCATCATAATCAAAAACTCAGACTTTCAAACACTCTTAGTTTTTTACAAAAATGTTACAAATCAGGTCATGTAATTACAGTTGGCCATGATGTTTTTAATTTATTATTAAATAATGCGAGTTTTGGTATTGGTATAAAAGCGTTAACAAAAACGTTTTTTTTTTTTGTTGTTGGTATATAAACATTTTTTTTTTTTTTTTCATAATTTATTGTAAGTGTAAAAAGTTTACGAAATTTCATATCAGGGCCGACGACGCCAGGGGGCCGCTACTTTTTTTCTAAAGAACCTTTTTTTTTTTATTCTAGATATAGAGGACATTGACGATTGTGTCCCTCCGTTTCGAAACCCGTGTCGTCGGCCATGCATACTTTTTAAAAGAAGCCTCAATTATTTTGTCATTTCTGTAAAACTTTTGCAATTATAATTACTAAGATATTATTTAAAAAGTAAAAAAAGAATCAATACAAAGTTTTAGAAAAAAAATTCTAATTTTAAAAATAATTGTGACTTTAGTTGCGAACTGTGAAGTGCTATTGAATTTGGCTGATCTTACTTGTGACTTGTTTATCGGTTGATAGCATTTATCAACTTATTATCACTTTATTATAACTTATTATTATCAGCATTTTTCATTATTATTTCATTGTTTTGTGGTGACCTTTTCATTTTAAATTAATTTTTTTCACAAACAGTGACGAAATGTAATCAGTTACGAAAAATGAACCAAACACTGTGATTAGTTACGAAAAATGAATCAAACACTGTGATCAGTTACGAAAAATATTGTGATTATTTTAATAATATAATATAATAAGTTTACTTTTTTATTTCTTGATTTATCAAAAGCATTTGATACAGTGGATCATTGCATTCTCTTAGATAAAATAAGACATTACGTAATAGTTAATAAAACCTATTATTGGATTAAAAGCTATCTTACCAACAGAAAGCAATATGTACATAATGTCCATTCTGGAGTATTAAATATTTTATGTGGGGTCCCGCAGAGACCAATTCTTGGTCCACTTCTTTTTCTTATATATATAAACAACTGGTTTAAAGCTAACAAACTCTCGCTTAATGTTGAGAAAACAATTTATATACTATTCCATAAAAAAGAGCTTCATCAGTTATGCAAACATTTCATGATCAAGTACTCAAACATCAAAGTTTAAAAAACTGTGTAGTTTGCAAAAACATACTTGCAGAATCATTTACTATAAGGATAGGCGTGAACACGTTAAACCCTTAATGAGTGATATAAAAATGATGAATGTATTTGTAATAAATGCCTATCAGCATTAAATTTTCATGTATCGTTACAATTACAATATCTCTCCTATAGGCTTTAATAACAAGTTTGAATTAAATAAAAATAAAAACTATAATTATAGAGCAAATATGTTAAACACATATAAACTGCCTCGGATAATAAATAAATATTCAGAATATAGCATTTCATATCGAGATGCTACCACTCTACTTTTTTTGTTGTTGTTTAACAATCTTATAAGTGAATTACGTATTTTATTACGATATTTATTACGATAATTAATTGAAATTTTATTACGTATATATTTTACGAATATTTTATTGATATTTTATTGAAATTTTGTTAAAGGGGCTCTATGAAAAGATTGCGATGACGTACTGTCATCCTCATCTTCTTTGAGCCCCTATCTGTTTTTACTTACTTTTTTTTTATATTTTATTGAAATTTTGTTAAAGGATCTATGAAAAGATTGCGATGACGTACTGTCATCCTCATCTTCTTTGAGCCCCTATCTGTTTTTACTTACTTTTTTTTTTATATTTTATTGAAATTTTGTTAAAGGGGCTCTATGAAAAGATTGCGATGACGTACTGTCATCCTCATCTTCTTTGAGCCCCTATCTGTTTTTACTTACTTTTTTTTTATGAAGCACAAAGTTGTAAAGTTTTTATGTTATATTAAAACAGAATAAAAAAAAAAAAAGTTACAAAATATGTGGGATAATTTACAAAAAGTTACGTACTGGTTTTACAAAAAAATACAAAAAACTAAACGTAATTTTCAAAAAGTTAAGTTAAAAATTATTGAATACCGAAAGAAAATGACTAAACCAAAAGCTTCACTTCGGAACTTCTTTTTCTAAGTCTGTAAAAATGCTTAAAGGTAAATATGTTGTATGTAATGATGGCAGATAAGAATTGGTTTGTCCTAAATCTACAAAAAGTATTGTTAATTAATAGATATAAGTATTTTGAAGGCTTATATAAGTTGTATTCACCCTAACCTTTTCATTAAAATTACCATAAATAACCTATAGAAGCTGAATTACTTCATGACACTTTCAAGGCCTGAACAAAATGATTTAGATGTGGTGGAATCACTTCTGAAAAAAGACAGCATGCAATATTTATAACTTCTGTAACTTTAATTGCTTCGGAAAGACTATTTAGTGGTTATGAAAATATAATTACAGACAGAAAGAACAATCACGTGACAATCATTTAAATGTTACAATCATGCAACAATCATGTAATGCCACAGTCATAGTAATGCAAAAAGGTTCTATTTTATACAGCAAAGCGTTTTGTTTGCTTTGTAGGTATATGCGTAAATTCGTAATTTTCTGCAAGCCAAAAACGCAAGCCAAAAACTGTGACCCAGCATTTGTAATTTGGCAAAGACACATGTGAGGCCAAATGATACTCTACCGCTATTTATAAACCAAATTTTTTTAAATTTAACAGTTTTAAATGTATATGTTTTTTATTTTTAAAGTAATCTGAATTTCAAATTTTTTTAAATTTAGATTACTTTAAAAATAAAGAATATATATATTTTTACATCGTTAATTAAAAATGAACTTAATTTTGCTATTATCAATTATTTATGCAATGATGTATTATATATTCAGTCTTCAGATTTTTTAATGGAAAGTGCTATTCCTAGATTTCTTCTTTGTATAAATAAAGATTTCACTTTTGCAGCATTCCATTGTGGAGTTAAATTCCATTGTGGAGTTAAATGTAGTGTTATGACTTTTTCATACAACAGAATTTATATTTTGAACAAATGTTCTTATATCCAAGAAGCATTAAGATTTTTAAATTGTTGTGAAATAACACACAAAAAAGAAGGTATACACCAACTAATTTTGTCAATGAATAAAACATGGATTGGGGAAAAAAAAGTATTCAATTAAAACAATTGTGCGAGCATTTGAGTATTTTTGCCTTTCATGATCAGCCAACAACTGCATCAGAGAAGATTTTGAACTTCCAAGTTTACGTACCTTAGGAAGAATTACATCTAAATCTAAGTCTTTAGATGATACCACTTACATCAAACATATTTTTTCTAAGGTTAGAGATGAAAGACAAAAAGATGCACTTTACTTCTTGATGAGGTTTATGTTAAACCAATGTTACAACACCATGGTGGCATAGCATTTAGTAAATCAATTAACAAACCTCATCTACTAGCAAACACAGTAATGAGCACAGTACTTTTGGTTGTAACGTTGTTTAATGGACCAAAATTTCTTTACAAAATGTTACCAGCCAGAGAACTTGATGCTGAACTTATTTTCGAACAGACAACCCTGATTCTTGACGCAATTAAAAATAATGGAGGCACCGTTGTTGCTATTGTCTGTGATGGTAACAGAGTTAATCAGAAGCTTTACAACTTTTTTGAAAAAAAAAGAAGCATAGTGTACTAAAGATAATATATTTCTTTTATTTGATTATGTACATTTATTTAAAAGTATACGTAATAACTGGATAAAAGAAAAACTCAAGAGCTTGAATTTTATATTGATGGAGAAAAAAAAATAGCATGGTGGGTTGATATTATTAATTTGTACAAGTTTGAATCAAAGAATATTGCTAAAATGTC